ACCCCCCAGACACCCCCACACACAGACACCCCCTAGAGACACCCCACAGACACCCCCAGGCACACACACTAACCCAGACACACGGAGGCCCGGAGAGGCCCAGGGCGGGGGGGGCTGAGCTGCCCCCTAGGGCAGGGGGCGGCCGCTGGCTGGGAACCGGGTGCAGTGAGGTCGTGGGGCTGCTCCTGTCCAGCACTGGAGGCAGAGGCAGAGGGAGTCCGTCCTCCCCGTTCTGCGGAGCACCACGGTCCTGGCACCCGCTGGCCGTTTGCCCCGGGAGGCCACCCCGGCCCGGCGCTGCTGCCCAAACGGGCGCTCGGGACTCCAGGCTGGAGACGGGGCCACTTGAGCCGGCCTCGAGGTCAGAGCTCCACAGAGCAAATCTCTCAAGGCTGGGCTTGCGGCTAGGGCACCGGGCCGGGAGGCAGGACGCCCGGGTTCCCTTCCCAGCTCGGGGGGTGAGGGGCCGGGAGGCAGGACGCCTGGGTTCCCTTCCCAGCTCGGGGGGTGGGGGGCCGGGAGGCAGGACGCCTGGGTTCCCTTCCCAGCTCGGGAGGGAATGCACCAGCTCCCGTCTCCTGCCCTCCCCCATCGCACTGAGTAGCTGGGACTGGACAATGCGCCTGGCTCAAGCTGGTAGCTGGCTCAGGGACGGGCAGTGGTGCCCGACGCCCACGTTCCCCCAGCTGGGACCAGAGACTCCCGAGCCAGCCCTTGGGGAAACCAGCACGTGGACTGCTCCGTGCCTCCGGGCAGGGCCAGGCTGCACCACGGTGCTTAGCGCCAGGCACCGAACCACCATCCCTTCCCCCTGCCCCTCGGCTGGACCCCAAGGAACACAGCTGGGGTCTCCCTAAATCGAAGGGTAATCCTCTGATTTTCTCTATTTAAAAAAAAAAATGCAATGGCCAGGAACTGGACACTCCCGAGCGACCCTACAATAACAACCCCCTGAGCATGAGTGGCCCTGCAAGCAACCCTACAATAATAGAGCAGTGTGCACAGCCCAGCAGCCCCAAAATCACAGTGTGTAAAGACCAGTGTTTACAAGTAACCCTACAATAACAAACTACCATGCATGGCTCAGTATCCAACCCAAATCCAGCTCCTGCCAGCAAGCAACCCTACAATAACAAACCAGCACACACAGCCCAGCGCTTGCTAGAACCCTACAATAACAAACCAACATGCCCGCCTCAGCAGCAATCCTACAACAGTCAAACCCTGCCGGGCTGCCCTAGGAAACCCAAACCCAGTGCTCACAACCGAAACCCAGCGTGCCCAGCCCGGCGCTGCGGGGCAACCCTACAATAACAGAGCAGCCTGACACGCACCGGGAGGGAAAAGCATCGCCGGGGGAAACGCCTGCGGGTGTCAGGTTCCCGCTGGCTGTGCTTTTGTTCCAAACCAGAGCCAAAGGCAGAGTAAACTCAGCCGAGATGGGACTCGCAGCTGGCAGCCTGGAGCGCCTGCCCCGGGGAACCGGCTGGGCACTGCCACAGGGCAGGGCCGGCAGGGGGCAGTGGGCAGGGGGATGGGGAGAAGCCAGGGGGTGGCTGCAGGGGCAGGAGGGGGTCTCGGCGGTGGAGGTGAACGCTG